ACTTCTACTTCTACTTCTACTTCTACTTCTACTTCTACTTCTACTTCTACTTCTGTAACGCTATCCTTGCTGTCTATAAATTTCTTTCCTAATATCTCTCTTACTTCTATTGCATCCCATTCATCTTAATCCGATTCCTTTCTCGCACTTAAACAAATTCTAAAAATCCTATGAGTCAGCCTCTTTATAATATTATTATTTAATCACTTAAGAACGAATAATACCGTCGTAAAACAGAAATTAAATCTGACTATCTCTATTCAGATTTTTATACAAGTGTGAATATCTGGCCCTTTATAATAGTTTCTTTGGTAGGTTGCAAAGTATTGTGCTCCGGACTAAAGTATTTTAAGCCGTATCCTTTGCATTTTCTTTTGCTGGTCCTCGGAGCAGGAAGCATTTTTCCTCATTTTTAAGGTAGTTTTCTACTTGGGCTTCCGCCGCATCTTCCTTTTTTCGCAATTTCGCCCCTCTGCAAATGCCTCAAATTGCATTTGTGTTGGTTTTTGGGCTTTTGGTCTTTCGCTTTATGCTGCTCTGGTGGCAAATGAAGCGTTGCCGCATCGCCCTTAACTTGCCAAGTTAACAGCAGTACTTCTAATGACAGTTGCCAGCTTGAAGCTAGGCGAACGTGTGCACCACACTAACTTTTTCCCATACTCGACTCGACTGCCTGCAAATATTTCGAATATTTTCCTCTACTACTCTCTCTTTTTTTTTTTTCTTTTTGACTGGTTTATATGAGGCTCTCTGCTAGTAAAAAGAGTCGTTGACTTTAGAAGCCTGCGCCATGAAGTGGAGATAGCTCAATAATATTAATATTTAAGTAGACAGTTTTCGCTCCGTGGTGCCGTGCAAACACAAAGTTTGGCGAAAAGCGGACAAAAAAATAGTTTCGGCCAGTGCAATGACCCTCGCCGCCCAGCGGAAGCAAACGACTTGAACATAATACATAATCATTTAAATAAGGCTAAGCCAGACCGCACTGGCTCCACAATATGACACACGACGGTGCAACAACAGAGAAAGACGGAGAAAGAGAGAGAGAGAGAGGGAGAGAGAGAGGGAGCAGAAAAAAGAACATAATGAAAAGTTTCGTTAGGCAAGAGCAAAATTGCATTTCATAGCCAATTTCGAGCGAGCAAAGGAACAAGTTTTGAACTTTAAGTTGCCCAGATAAGAAGAGAGCCACAGAAAAAGTATTCCAAGAGCTTGAAGTTTACCATATTTGCTTACCTTAACGATCAGGCATTAAATTCATTTTTAATACTAATTTCAGTTTTTAATAAGCACAGAAGAATTATTTCCCTAGCGAGTTATTTGGTCCAAAGCCATATACATATATAGACTTGCGGAAAATTAGTTCTATAAATTTGGTATTAAATATTTACTTGATACAATATTGCTATTTTTTCTATGCAATTCCCTTGAGTAAGATTTTCTCTAGTAAGATTTTTGAGCTGTTTTGCTTCATATAATCAACTTGAAATTACAAATTTGTAATTTCCATTTTTAGTATATATCTTGAACAATGTTAAAAATCATTTTAGTGCCCTTCTATGCGATACACATATTCCATAAAACTTTATGGTTACCATGAGTTTATATCTCTTCATAGAGTATTATATAAATATATAAAAATAAAATATATTATAAATATTTAAATGATATATAAATATATAAATATATTATATTTATAAATAGCCCATAAAACTTCCTTTTGACTCGTTCCCGACTCACACGCGGCATTCTCAACCCACTTTAGGTATCCCAGGGCAATCTGTTGCCGTATTAACATATTACTTTTTACCTTGTGCGAAATGAATTCGAATTCTCATTTTCATTCGGATTCGGATTCGCATCGACATTGTATTTTTTATGCGTGGCCAATGCTCAATGGTCCCATTGACTAGAATATATTATCATTTATTTCGCAAAGAGTTGTGGCATGGAGCACAACGAGGCTAGTAGAGCCGGTTGGTTGGGCAATAAAAATCAATGCCAAGTGCTCAGCAGTCGAACTGCTGTCAATTTGCTCTAATGGCCCCCAGAGAGCGGCGCGTCCTTAACGAAACATCAGAATTGATAAGAGACCACTTCTATTTGTATTTGCAGCTTTCTCGGGTGCTGCGCAATTTCAATATAACCAAGATAAGCGATCTGGAATTAATATCGAATACCACGGATCGCCTGGACATAACATTTCACTTCTTTGGCATCAAGGGCGACTCGCAACGGATTCGCGAGGCCATCACCCGGATGGTCGAGCGCGGACGGATTGGCAACTTTACGCTCGTCTCGAACTTTCATCACTTCGACGAGAATCCTCCCTTGAACATGTTGGTAAGTGTATTGAATCGTAGCTCTTTAAAGGTCTCCCATGGAATTTTCTGCATTCAGTTTTCAATTGACAAACCAATTCCATATAATTGCGCCTGCACTGCATATTGTATTTCAATGAAAGTTCATCATAAAAAAAAAAAAAAAACGTGTCAAGTAAATAAATTTACAATTATTCAGTTTTTAAAACACATTTCTCGCTGGCAGCTGAATGGATTTCAATCAAGGCGCGACACATTGATTTCAGCTGAATACAAATATGTGTAAATATGTAGACATGTATGTGTATATTTATGTGTGACACTGTCAGCTTACAAACGATAATGTTTTTATAAAAACTGCATATATGTAGATATATCCTACTTGCATTTCCGTCACAAATTAAATATTAATTTATTGACTCGTCGCCATAAAAACAATAGCAATAAAATGCATAACAATAGCAAATGCATTGGCATAAATGTGTGCCACACTTGCCACGCTTGCCACACTTGCCACTTGGCACTTGGCCAGCAACAGTGAAAATAAATAATTATTTATTAATTGTGGCAAGCAGCTGAACAATTGGCCTCATCAGCTGGCCCCCCGTTGGTCCCCATTGGCCCCCACTGGCCCCCGTTGGCCGCGGCTCGCAATTAGGCTGCATTAACATAACCGACAAGCCGGAAACCTCAGGGTGGGCCCGAGCCGAATTTGCGCTGCTCGACATGAGGGGCCGCTACCTGTCTCACCTGCTTCCCCCCCCCTCTCACGCCCAGCCCCTCACTCACGCCTAATTAGTCAACATTGTGTGGACTGAAGCAACGCTACGCTCTCATTGCAGGACCTGAGCGTCAATCAGCCGCAGGCAGCTGTGCGCGAGGACAGCGAATTCATCATATCCTGCACGGCCCAGGGCTCCTCCCGCATGCAGTTCCAGTGGTTCAAAGACGGCGCCGCCGTCAATGCCACCAAAGCAACGAGGTAAGTCCTAAGCATAAGTTCAACCCGAGCCGCAGCTGCACCTCAAATACGTTTTGCGAATTTCATTTTTGGGGCAGACGAGCAATCACCGGTCAGCGGTCAGAGGTCAGAGGTCAGCGGTCAGCGGGCACAGCTGTCTCTGTGCGAAATCGAAAACTATAAAGCAAATGCTACGCCTCAAATATGTCCATTGATTGAGCAGGGCACTGCACGACTAGCCAATACCCTGCACTAGACAATTGAGCTGATAAAGAAGTCAAAGCTTTGCTCATTCATTTTCACAGGGTATGTGCAGTCTTATGCCTGCTCAGTCAGCAATATTATTAAAATCCTGTCTGAAGGAGTGAGCCAAGAAATATATGTAATAGCATTTCCCCTCTTCTTCTTTTTTTCATTTCGGGCAGTTTTTCCAACACAAGTGTTCAATTTGACTTTATGACTTTTACACATCAATAAACATGACATAAAATGCCCTGGCAAAATAAAAACGAAACGGCCAAAAGGGATAAATAAGTCAGGGCGCAGATAAAGATTTGTCAGAGACGTCGAGCGGAGCGGGGCGGGGCGGTTGGCTAGTCGAAGCGACGAGAGAGAGAGAGAGAGAGAGAGGCAGAGAGACAGGCGATGCCAGCCAAACCGCAGTCAGCCAGGGCGAATGATTGATCATAAACCTTAGCGGCGCAGCCAGGCAGAGCACATCATACGCTCACCCCCATGACTATGACCCCCTCCGACTACAAACACAACCTCCCCCCCTGCCCTCCCCTGCAGCTGCTTGTGGTGTATTACATAAAAAGCATACGGCCGTAACTAACGAGGGGCTGTTGCTTGGACGACTGAGCGCAGTTGCCTCTGCAGGTTTCTGGGGGCTTAGCCTTAGCCGCAACTAGAGGACCACGCAGCCTTGACAATTTCTGCACAATGAGGTGGCCAGGGAGAGGGGCTGGGTGCCACTGCGCAAGTTTCCGTAAGCAGCGTGGCTAGGTAGCAGCGGAGGGGCGGTTTCTCGGGGGGCGCGTCAGGTGGAAAGGCAAATGGATTGAAGCGTGGTGCGATTTGTTTCGCGTGTGCGGTCAAAGGTCATTCAGGCAACGATTCATATTGAAATAAATAGCACTTTCCATGTATTTACATTTCGAC